GTTATATTTACATTGCGTGCACTGAAGGCTTACCTTTGAGGTTTGTGGTAACAGAAATCCACAGAGGTGCATGTTAACCTCACAAGAAAGCAACAGAGGTTATTTAATATTACAATCAGTTGCAAAGGTCTGCACCACTGTCCCGTGAACCCTCACGAAAACCTTCACCTCGTGAAGCAGAAGAAGAAAATGTGAGAAATGTTAATGTCTGTATATTAGAAAGGATGTGGACTAAGTCAAAGAAACGCAGAATAGGTCAGACAATCTCAGGGCAGTTTTTAGGACCCCTGAGATACAGCTGATGAGGTTTTTCTATAAAGCACAAAAATAAGAAATAGCAATTATTATTATTATTATTTAACATTATTAAGAGTAATAAATATTATTAATGATATCTGAAACATAATGAAGTTATGTTTCATTTTTATTTAGCAAGATGTTACACTCTCAGCAAATGAACCCATCCGTGTGCAGAACATCTGCTCCACGTAAGTGTAACCTGACAGTATGGAATGGCATCACAGCCCAGCCACTGTAACAGATCCTCAAAGAGACCATTGCCATGTTACGCATACTCAGCCCATTGAGAGTCTCTATATAAGAGTCTACTGGGAATGAGAATGATGTCACAGAAGTAAAAACAGTGAGATGATGATAACTGTTTAATAATACTTTATCATGTGAATAAAGCTGAGCTATGCCACAAGAACTGAAAGTTGTGCACTATGTCAGAGAACATGCTGCAAAGGGGACAGCATCATCCAGTTTACCAATAACACAAGTGTCCCCATGAAAAGAAGGGCTGGGTGGAATAAGACCTCCCTTCAAAGGCAGCATCAAAAGAGTTGCATTCTTAGCACTCACTCTACTCATGTGATTGCAGAGTGACGTTGGAAGGGTTTGTACAGGGTGCTGAAACACAGCACAGTGGTTGGAACTCAGTAACTGCACTTAGTTCCCCAGCATGCTCAGCTGAGTCAGGGATCACTGAAAGATCTCAGCCAGCTCTTTCTGGACTCTTGGTTGAAAGTCAGCAAATGGAGCTTGCTCAGCTAGAAATAAAACAAATGAATGCTAGTAAAGCTGGTGCAGTCTGTGTGGCCCCTGACATCCATCTGAACTGACATCCATGCCATGTTCATTGACGGCCACCCCCACCGCTGAGCCTGTGGGGAAGGTCAGGGCCGAGAGGGAAAGGTGCAGGGAGAGGCAGAGCAGTTGAGGAGGGAAACGCAAGCAGAGTCAGGAGGCGGTGCAAGAAGGGGGCTTTAGCCCAGGAGCCAAGCAGAGGAAGATGGTCCTAGGCAGGCAGAGGCTGCTGCTGGGAGGGATGAGCCAATCAGGGCTGAGCAGAGGGTCGGCAGCCAATCAGGGCGCAGTGAGGGAACTGGATGCGGTTTCCAAGGCGACGGGCCCCATCCTCACAACAAACTCACTGGGTGCGAGGGGAGGCTGCCGTTGTGCACCCGGTGTGAGGGGATCGCAGGCTCTCGCTCCTTGGGTTGGGTCCTGGTGCGGGCCCCGTTCAGAGCAGCATGGTGGCCCCGGAGAGCAGCGCTGGGAGCAGCGAGGCCCAGAAGGATGCGAAACGCACCTACCAGTCACTGCTGGAGCAGCTGAGCTATAACAGCAAGCAGCACATCGATGTCCTGACCATCGTGGCCGAGGAGAACACGTGCTTCAGCAAGCACATTGTGTCCCTGATTGAGGCAGAGATCATCAAGGTTTTTATATGCCACTCACTCCTACTTTTACACATAGTGCTGGAGGGACCAGCTGGGGCAGCAGGAATGGGTGGCCTTAGGGGCTAGGAGGAAGGGCATAGGGGAGAGGGAGTGCTGAGGAGTACAGGAGACAGGCAGCACAAGGTGCAGGGGTTGCAGGAGGAGGAATGGAGGAGGGACAAGGAGAGACAGGAAAGTGGGCAGGGGACTCCCAGGAGAGCAAGAGCCCTCCCTCCCTGCTCGTACTAGGAGAGGGTTTGGGACTCATCCCACCAAAAGCTCTGGGAGAGCAGCATGTCTCCCGATTGAAGCCCCATGTCAGTTTCTTCTCATTACTCCAGGCTCCTCCATCACAGAAACTGCCATTCCTGTACCTGATGGATTCCATTATAAAGAATGTGGGAGGAGAATATGTGCCTGCGTTTGCTGGAAACCTAACTTTAATATTTCCTCGCGTGTTTGAAGAGGTATGCACTCTTTCAGAAAAGTTCTGTAATCTCGGCAGCATTTGTTCCTGGTAGGACATACATTTGGGGTTTTCTTATTCTGCTGCCATGTCTTTAATGTTTTAATGAGAGGTGATGGGCATAAACTCAAAGGCAGGAAGGTCCACCTGAACTTGGGGAAGCGCTCACGTCCTGAGAGGGTGACTGAGCACTGGGATGGGGTGCCCAGAGCAGTTGTGAAGCCTCCTTCCCTGGTGCCTTCCCATAGTTTTCTTCCTGTAATTTTTTTCCCACAGAAATTGGGCAAGGAAAATGAGACTTTTGCTAGGGAAACAGGTGAAAGAAAGTTTTCAGAGAATGGAATCTGTGCAATAAAACCTTCAAATCGCCTTGAAACACCAATTGCACATTTGAGCTTCTTTTCCTTAGTCCATGGGTATAGATGTATGAGCTGCACTGCTTACAAGTGCTGTAGAGCAAGGTGGTAACATGGCAAACTGTTCCTAGAGGTAGGAAAGAGATGAAATCTTTAGCTTGACAGAAAACATCAAGAAATTGTTTTCTATTCCCTTCACAAGCCCTACAATTGTCTGATTGTTTTAGGTGGATGCAGCTACTAAGAGGCGTTTATTTCATTTACGTTCTACATGGAACGGTCTTTTTCCTGCAAAGAAACTGCTTGTACTTGACATCAGAGTCAACGTGTTAGATCCGGCTTGGCCAATTCAACACCTGCCTGCAAACCTGGACTTCTCCAGCATCCTGGGGAAACGCAAGTTTCCAGAGAATTCAGTAAGTTTGTGTGCCTGCTGCATGCACAGACGCTGACACGTGTAGTTGTCATTGTCTGTCTGCTGCTGTCTGACAATTTAGCATGTTAATAACAAATTATGTGACCTTTGTACACGGGCAAGAGGGTTTTCTGAGCTGAGACTATGGGATAGGTTGGGGGTTTAGATTTCAAATTGTGGAACAATGACAAAGTTCTTGGGGTTTTGTTTTTCACTTCTCTCCAAAATGCTGCCTTCTGATGATCCTCGTCTTCCATCTCTTCTTGTCGCTCACACCTTGGGGTTTTGTTTCTCACTTCTCTCCAAAATGATGCCTGCTGATGATCCTGACCTTGTATTACTGATTTTGCAGGAACACGAAGGCACAACATCTGCATCTGAAAGAAAAGCCATGACAACAGAGAACTCAGGAAATCAGAGTCTAAGGCCAAGTCCAGAACAGTCCCCATGTTTGCAGGCGAGGAGCTCACGTAAGAGGAGATGTGGGAGTTTATCTCCCACTTCATCAGCTCCTAAAGTAAGGAAGGTATGTCAGACAGCCCTAAGCAGCCTCACGTCGAAGAAGGCTTATGCAGTCCTTTGTGGACCTTGCAATCCCAAACTGGCACGGCTCACTCTGGGAAGGAGTTTGCCATGTATGAAATCATTGAGAAACTTGTACAAGTGAATGATAAAAAAGCAAGTTTCTAATTGCATTCTTACCCAAACAATTCTTGAATGCTTATTTCTGCAGGTTTGTGTCTGATCAACCTGGGCCTGAAGAGCAAGGTCAGCAGAATTTCCCACAGGCCACAAGTTGTGCTCAGAACCCCGAGGGAGCTGTGGAAAATCCACACTGTTGTCCATGACACGAGTGTTTAAACCAGCTGGGGCTGCATCCATTTTTCAGTGAATGCATTCATTTCAGACTTTGTGTGGTTTGCTTTCAGATACAATGAAAGAGGCTTTCCAAAAGAAGCCCTATCAGTAACTGGAAGAAGCACCTCAGTTTTATAACAAACCCACTCTACTGTTCCCTACATTTTGCCTGTATTTCCTAGAAGATAATCCTGTGTTAAGATAATATTAAAACAAAAATAAGCAGAACAAATAAAGCAAACAACCCTCCCTGATTTCTCTGCTCTTCCCTCAGAGGACAATGTCTATCAGAACAAGAAGGAGAAAACCCCTATAGGCACTCTATTGTTATTCATGCTATTTTACCTGATTACATGCATCTGTCTCTAACATTCAAATCTCCTTTCAGTTTAGGTGCTAAAGGTAGCAATGCCCAAAACCAAGGTTGCTTGGCATTTTCTATGTTAGCTAATTTAGTTAATGCCAAGCTTGCTTAGTGCTTCGGTAAGTTTTACATCTGATCTCCGATGATGATGTGTGTGTAGCGTGAAGCTGAGATGGGATCAGAGAAGGTCCTGTAAGTCAGCAGTTAATCAAATGTTGCTTGATACCAGGAGCAAGAGAATGCAGAGACTCAGCTATGCCATGAGGGAAAGTCTCTTTAACACGTGCCCACTGTCTACTTATTGAGCTGCAAACAATGACAGCCTAGTAAAGTAGTTATACTGTAATACAGTATATTACAGTAGTAATACTGTAATGTAGCAGTAATGCTGTAGAAGTAGCTTTATTACACACATGCTCAAGCAAAACTACTCGTGACATTTTCTGGTTTTGAAGTGCCTGATTTTTATGACTTCTAAAGTTTGGGGTTTGAAGGCAAGGGAGTAAAAACCTTGCATTTTAATTTGCTATAACATTTGGCACCCAGTGTTTTACAGTCACTGGATTCATTTCTTTTGTAGTAATATTTTCAATCTTAAAGTCTACTCATACATGGCAGGGGGGTTGGAACTTGATGATCTTAAGGTCCTTTCCAATCCTAACTATTCTATGATTCTATGATTTGATTTACTGAGTAATATTTGATATATAAATAACAGTGAATGCCAAGAAGCTGAAAATATTGTTGGTATAATCCCAATTCCTTCCGTCACATTAGCTCCCAGAATAAGTTTGTGGCAAGAAGTGCTGCTTCAGGCTTATTCAAAGCAAAATGAAACATCAGGCTTAATTGTTTTTAGACAAGGAAAGTAAGACCAGTCTATACAGTTTAAACAAATCACATTCTATGTTATATTTTCTTCTGTCACAATTTCAAAGCTCCAAAATGGGTTTTGGTTTATCCCCAAAGAGCTTGGAAAAGCTTTCTGAGGCAAGCAGGATTTGCAAACATCTTAAGGCATTACCTGGCTTTTTGGTTAAAAAAAGTCTCACTTTTTCCACATTCATAATTACTCGGATGTAATCCATCCTCAGACATGGCACTGAAGAGAAACTGCACTTCTGTAAACTAAATTATTGAGTAACTCAAGCTTAAGGCATTACCAAGTTCTGTGCCATGCTCCCAGCGTTTGGAAATGGACATACTTGTACGCATTCCACTGAACCTGGCCATCCACAGGCCCGCTCCTCACCCTGGCATCCAGAGTTAACATTACACTTCTGGTTTATCTAGTTGAGGTGGCAGATGAACTCTGCTGCTACAGCTGTCCTAGTGGTAACAGTACTAGTTAGTTATCCTGTACGCATCCCTTCACCCAGCCCTAGGCAGGGGAGCTTGTGCATCTGCTTAGAAGTAGCTGCAAAAAGCAAAGGAAGAAAGTAAAAACCCATAGTTGAATGTACAAACTCTCATATATGCTGCTCCTGTAGATACATGACTATGAAAACCAGTTAAAAATCCATTCAAAGATTTATTTTTATCCAAATAGAGGTTTCCCGTCGCCAGGACAATCAAGTCAGGGGTTCACAGAGTTGAGGCAGTCAGGTTTAAATCTGGAGCTGCTCTCTAGTGGCCAGGTTTGGTTTGCTCCCCCTCTGCTGAGAAGCACTGCTCAATCTGAAGTGTGCCAAGGGGGTCAGGTTCAGAAGCTGGTCAGTTCTGGTTCCTCCTGATACTCTGGACACCAAGTTCTGGAATCCAAATGAAGAGGGTGTTAATGGAATACCAGACTTTTCCCATTTGATGAAGACTGGGGAGCTGAAGCTTCTGCCACTGCTCCAGCTCCATTTGCTGGTTTGTGTCTGTGCTGTTTTGTGTAGTTTACACAGCAGCAAAGGAAAATGTTTCCCAGTGGAGATCAGGAGAAAATCTTCCAGGCATTTTCACTTGCTCAGCCACTGATGATTATGATGCCCTTTAGAGAGACAGGATTGCAATTCCTGTCTGTGCAATCCACAGCATCTCTAGGGGCACTGAACAGGCTACTCTTACCAGGCGAGGATGGTGAGGAGGCTTCTCTTCCAGGGAAGCTCGCAGATCCAAACTGCTGAGCATGGGGTTGCTGCAAGAGATGGTATTTTTCCAGCCAGCCAGGCAGTGCTGTGAAGAGATGGGAGTGCTGCATTGCAGTGCTTCACCCTTTTTAATCCATTGTGGCCTGTTAGTTCTACATAATAACTTCTGTGCAGGGAGGTTTAAGCAAGTAATTAATTTGGACTAGCAGGAAAGAGAAGAAATCTTTAATGAAGCAGAACCGCACAGGCATCCCCTCTTCAGCCTTTCACTAATTATTTCTAAACCCATCTCCTGCTGTGTGAATTCAGTCAACCCACCCTCTGAAACCAACTCCACTTGTGCAGTTCCCTAAACCTCAAAATCAAGCTTCTTCCTACATCTTCCCTGGAAATGTCTAAGCCAGGGCTAGGTCTGATCAGTAATACTGCCTGCAGCATTGCCCTGTGGCTGGAACACAAGACCTACTCTACTCAATACAGTTTTAAACCCACCCTTGCCACTACTGATTCTGCCTGGCCCATGTGCAATACACTGTGAATACTTAATGGAAACTTGTCTTTGAGACTCCCTAACACCTGTGGAAAGAAACACAGGCACTCTTAAGGTCTGGTTCATCGTGTTGAAATGTCAATGCCTGAAATAAGTCAGCTGAATCATGCCTCAGAAGTACACAGCTCCATATGGCACTTTCTTTTCCTCAAGGTAAAGCATTTGGAGATGTGTCATATACTTTATGTCAGTTGCACAAAGCTATGAACTCAGAAGTACACACCAGTGGTTTTCCTTGCTATCTCAGCGACACAGATCAGAACTTTTAGTGGAAGCCCTGCCCAAGGGGATGAGTCCCAGATTCTCCTTCCTTCTGGTGCTGTACAGCAATGTACAACATGGGCTGTGCCATCAGTATCAATAAGAAGACAGCGACTTACCGAAGGTAACGCTAGACTATCATCTGGTTCAAAGCTCTTCCTGCGATGGGCTTTGTGTTTGTAGGCAGGCATAAGGGTAGACCTGGGAATGCTGACCCTGCAACCACAGAATGGAAGTCATTGCCTATGCTTTCTACAAGGCAAAGGAAATCTGCACACCTGCCCCACTCAGAACCCAAGGGTCTAATCCCGAAGTGAACCAAGTGAAACAGTTTTGGATTAGAGCATTAGACACTTAACATGTACAGAATGCAGATTCTGGAGCAAATTCAGATAAAACATGCATTTCTCACTGACTTCAAAACTGCTTCTGCTTATGGAAAAGATGAGTGAGAAGTTTTAAAGCAAGAGAGAGAGAACAGCAACCATGAACAGAGCAATTTGGCACTGCTTTCTCCCTCACATCATCAGCTTTTTCTTTCCTATTGTTTCCTTGACTTCTGCCCATCACAAAGCAATAACTAATTTACCTGACATAGGCTGGCTCTCCCAATTTCTCTGGGGGCCGGTGAGTACGTGGGATCTTACACACGGGGCAGGCAGACTCTGAATCCACAGGGACAGGGAAGAGGCGCTGGTTTAACCGGTAACAGTAAACACCTGCCACGGAGTAACACACCATCATGGCAGTTATTGCTACCATTAGTAATAGCTAAACAATAGCTATTGCTATTGTTTGCCAGAAGGCTTCTCAATCCACTCAACCAAGCTGTGCTCCATCAGTGTCACACACGCATTCTATAGAAAGAGCTGCTTTTCCTGAAATATCTTTTACATTTCCTGTCCCCAAAGAAGTTCCTAAAAAGCAAAACCAGAACTTCAACCTCCTCAAGTTAATAAGAGAACATCAGCCAATTACAAGAAACCCTGATGAAGTAAGATGACCCTGATAGAGAGGGGATCCTTAGGAGACTCAAGTTATCTTTGGAGTACGAAACTGAAGCTGGTTTAGAAGCTGCACCTAAAAATCCCACATTCCTCCCTGCCTTGCACGATGCAGGGCTTCCTCAGAACAACAGGCAAGGTCTGCTCAGTTGTTCGTTCACAGAAATTAGATTAGGAGGCAATATGATCTTACACTTATGGGAACTGGTTATCACATCTGGTTCTTGTTCAGGATCTCTGTAGTCCACAGCCCTGGGCCTAAAGGAGATATGCAAACAAATCAGTGTAAGGGGGCAGGCTCTCTGAACAGCCCCACCTTTTCAAAACATGCATTTCCGACTGGGAGGGAAATAAAGGCCTACAAAGCCACCCTTACAATTTCCCACTCCAATCAGGCTCTACTCCTCATCGGGCTAAAGAGACACATTGCTGCTTCAGCCCTCGCCCCATACCCACTCACTCTGGGCGCTGCTCATGAATACATTCTTCTCTGTTGACCTGTCGGAACTCGTGCAGCTCAGCAAAGTACTGGTCAGATTTTTCTGCTACTGAAGGGCTCGTATCTAGGAGTCCTGAGAGGGCCAAGGAAAGGGAAAAGGTCAAGGATTTACCACACATAGAAAAGCCCCAAAGCAAACCTCACATAAAAGAGCCAAAGTAAAGGTCTGAAGCACTAAAATGAATACTAAGAAAAACACGTCGTTGTGTCAAGCCAGAGATTTACTGCATGATTTGGGTCCGTTATTGCATTCATTCATTTCAGTTACTTGGTATCCCCTCTGACCTCACTCAGCTTTGATGTTTGCTGCCTGGCTTCCCATTCCACTGCAGCATCACCATTCCAGGGATGCACTGGACAAGGAATGGCATCTGACAAAACCGCAGCTCCTCTGCTGAGACCTTCCACATGGGCTCTAGGGCTGCAGTTCTGTCACACCTAAACTTAAAGGGGCCGTAAACTGGGTTTGACGTTGTCATATTACTACAACATCCTGAGAGCTTTGCTTCATGTTGAGGACTCACCCGCAATCCAGTCGTAGCCCAGGAAAGGACGCATGGACCAGGTGCTCACAGGTATGGTATATTCTTCAGGGTCAGACTCAAAAGTGATGCAACGAGCTCCCTTCTGGGAAGAAAACAATCCATAAGACAACTAGGAGACGTTCAAAGATACAGCTTAGGAGACAACTGTTCAAATGGGACAGCTGTGGCTTAGTTTGTGGCTGGATTCTATCTATGCCTCTACCAGTAGCAGCCCTTTGTTTTTTCACGTCACAAAACAGAAAGAGGAGGCAGGGGACTTGCCCAGGGAAAGGCAGAATTTGTCAGGGCTTTAAACAAAATGCTCCTTGCATCACACATCCCCAAACATCAGGTCACCTCTGCTGGCCTGGAGGAAGACCACAGCAATAACCTGCCCTCCACACCTATGGAAACAAGCTATGTGGCAGCAGCATCACACCAGGCTGTTCTCCCTGAGAGGTCAATCACATACACAGAGGACAAGGAGTCTCACAGTGAAGTGCTGAAGTCTTCAGTTCAAGGGCTAAGGAAAGTAGGGCCTGAACAAACTGACACAAGCCCCAGCTGCTAAGGCTGGGAACAGCTGACCCCAACTTCCAAATTGCACAGTGAGAACAGAGCAAGCAATGTCCTCCTGAGCCTTTCTCCCCCATCCTTCTATTGACTAATGAAAACAAGCAAAACCCCATTTACCTTTGGCTCTTGGGACTGAGACGTCAGCAAGACTGATTTAGGAACGACAGGCTCTCTAACAACCACATGCTGCTTGCTGGTCTCTTCACCTTGGCTGCTGCTCAGTGATGAGGCCAGAACATCCTCAAGCTGCTGCTTCTCATGGAAGCTATCTAGCAGAGTGGACTGGATTCTGTTCTCTCCATGTCCCGGAGGGAAGGATTCTTCCTCTGGACTTCCTTGAGCATGGCCACCCCTCTCCACTTCAGAGGTTTCTCTGCCACAGGTAATGACTGCAGTCACTGGCACAACATTCTTCTCTTTCCCAGGAAAGCCAGAATCCAAACCTACTGCTTCCTGCATCTTCTCTTGTTGTTGCTGTACCCCCCTGTCACTGCTGCTGTGCTTAAGAGATGAACAGAGGGCTGCTCTGGCTGCGTAAGCTCCAGGTTCCACACACACCAACACTGCAGGGTCAGCTGTAGGCTCCACAGCATCAGCTGGATTCGTCTTCTGTAAGGACAGAGACTCTCATACCACACAGCATCGTCCAGATTACACACACCTTTTTCTAGGACACTTCACTCAGTAACAGAAAATCAACCTCTCATTCTAGTCTGCTCACCCCTTTATATTCCTGTGGGGAAAAAAAGCAAACCCATGTATTCATGAGACATTATTTAAGTGCCTGGGGAAGATAAGGAAGGGATCCACTTCCAGAGAAATGCAGCTCTTCCCAATTTGAGGAACACTAACTTTCAGCCTTCATGCTTAGAAGATATAAAAAGAGTATGTTCCACAAAGTTCATTCCTATCTTAGATTAAGAAACCTACATTCTTGGGCAGGAACTGATCTCTGACCCCTTTGCAAGAACACGGTGGAGACCACAGGATAAGCAACAAACAGCTACTTTTCTGTCTCCATGTTCCACATTCTACTTTCTACCAGCTCCTCCGTGTTCATCTGTCTCCTTTGGAACATCACTCCATAGGCAGAGCTGCTGTCTTTCAGATAAGGTCCATTTGCTTCCCAGCACTTCTGGCACAGACACAACACATACCCTTCTTGTGGGCAAGGGGACAGAGCTTTCAGGAGCTGTTCTGTTATCAAGAGATGCCTTGCTGGGAAGCCTTCTTCTGATCTCTTCCTGCTTCATTCTGAGCCTTTGCAGAAGGTCCTGGTTGGCCTCACGCAGCCTCTGCAGGTGCTCTATCTCCATCCTGTGAAGACGCTTCACTGTAAAGCCAGAGGAAGGGTGAACAACATCAATGGAAGCAGGAAGGGAAGGAGCAGTCCCAGGAGAAACCACCTGCAGGGGACTTCTCATGAAAATCACAAACAGCTGCTGGACCACTGGGAGTGTTGATCATTGCTCCTCAGAAACCAGCCAGTCTCAAAGCTCTTTATGCTAAGGACTAGCACCACTGCATACCTCCCTCAGATGGAGTGTCAAACAGTTTGCACCCAAAACCTTGCAGCTGACTGAGCAGAGACAAGAGACTCTCACAAACACTAAACATGAAAAAACTCGCATCACAAAGCCAAATAAAAGCCATTTGATTCAGAGGCTGATATTTAGAACAACCTTATTCTGCTTGAATGTGCTTTCCAAGCCTCCAAATTTATACTGGGATACCAGCAGGATGCTCAGAAGTTCAAAATATGACTAAGGAATATGAATGTATTTACTACATCCAAAAGAAATATTGAGTCCAAACTGTCCTCCGCTTCTGGAAGGAAGACTCCAAAAGGCTCAATTATGACTCAGGACTAGGGCTCAGGCAATTCCAATGTCACACATTAAGCACTAAGGGTTCTTACCCTTTTATTGGGAGAGGGGGGAGAAAAAGATAGATAGATAGATAGATAGATAGATAGATAGATAGATAGATAGATAGACAGACAGACAGACAGAAAGATAGGTAGATAGACAAAAAGATAGAGATAGAAAGATGATAGACACTTAGTTTGAGTGGGAAGCTGTCACACTGTTCAACATGGTGACACCACCACCATCTCCTCTAAATTAGCAGAGAGTGCTGTTTTAATTAAGAAAACTAAACCTACACCCCCCTCCCTCTTGCTTTTGGCTTGAGTAATCAATTATATCCTCAAAACAACTCTGTGCTTCTCCAGGACCTTATGTCCCAAAGGATCCCTAAACCCTTCTCCAAAACTCATCCCATTTGTTTTGGTGACTGCTGCCTCGGCAACTGGACATGAGGAATTAAATGCAAGTCCTGTACAACAGCACTGGTTGGAACGAAGAGCAGTGCTAACAGTAAAACTACAGTATACCTTTTTGTGATATAGATGCATATATATATAGCGAGAGGTGCACTACTGGGCATAAAACAGAAATGCCAGTCTTGAGACACTAAAACTGAGCTTATTTGAACAAAACAAGTTCTCACAGGACAACGCCAAGAGCGTTGATCCTCTCATCATTGCTCATCAGAAAGCAAATACTCTGAAAATAACATTAGCCAAGGGACTTTCTGGACGTGTTCTACCAGATGAGACCCACTTTTAGCATAATCGATCAGAAGCTGTTAGTGCTTCATGCTCAGAGCCAGGAACTCAAGCTTTAGTCTGAATCCTTTGTGGAAAGGACCTTAACTTCTTGCAGTTAAAAGTAACTGATGGCTGTCCCCCGCGCTAAGCACTCCCATCTCTGATACCGGATTAAGGAACGCTGGCTCACAAACAGCTACGCAGAGCTCCCCGGCGCACACGCAGGTTCTGATCCCCCTGCCTACGGGGGATGGCCCGGGGCACTGTCAGCCCCCCGCTCCCTCGCCATGAGGCCCGGCAGCCGCACAGAGCCGGTGACCCCCCCCCCGCACAGCGCTGTGCGGAGCCCGAGCCTCGCCGGGCCGAGCGGCCCCAGGGCTGCGGGCGTTCCCCCGGTCCCCGGGCCCACCTCCGCGCACCCCGGAGCTCCCCGTCCTGCTCCGGCCGCCGCCGGGACTCCCCCGGGCGGCCTCGACAGCTCCAGCGGCCGCTTCCGCGGCTGGGCCCGCCCCTTGGCTCCCGGCATGCGCGGAAAGGCTGGGCCGGGGGAAGCGGAACCGAGCCGCGGGTCCGGCCCAGGTCCTGCGGGGCTCGGGGGGGACCACGGAGCCCAGCGGTCCCCGCAGTCAAACGGGAGCGGTTCTGAAATCCACGGTTGGAAACGACCCGCACAGCAGAACCACAGAACAGGGTTTGGGTTGAAGGGAGCTTAAAGCTCACCCAGTTCCAACCCCTTCCACTAGAGCAGCTTGCTCCAAGCCCCAGTGTCCAACCCGGCCTTGAACACTGCCAGGGATGGGGCAGCCAGTAACCACCTGAGAACAGCCACTGACCATGATTTCAGGCTCTCAACACAGTATTTGCTGACCATGCCTTCCTGCAATATTCTCAAGAAATCACTGATCCCATACCACCATTTTTAGTGTAACTTAAGAAAGAATCTCTCAAACTTTCCATTGGATAACTAAGTATTATTGGTCTCCTTGTTAATTTTCACAGTAACCACACAGATTAAAGGTCACTACTAACACACAACATACCCCAATTTACATCATCATCTCAGTAACTATTATACTTACAATTGAAGACTTTGTATCTCCACACACAGCACGCATCAGGATAAATATTTTTCCAATTCATTTTTATTTTGGTTTCCACTGTTTACAGCATTGATACAGAAATAATTCATGCAAATTTATCACCTTAAATACAGCAGAGAGAAAACTCACTGGTAAGAGTAGTTCAAAGAGCTCCATCAACATAACACAATGAGAAAAATGAGTAGCAGCAATAAGATAAAGTGCATTTAGCTGACCTTCTTTAATAAGAGTTTGGGGAAGATTTGGTTTGGCATTCCTGTCCTAAGGAATAGCTTATCATTCTTTACGAACATCAGAAGAGAACAGGCTCCTTGCTGGTAAGTGTTTGTTCCTCCACCACTCTGAGTTAAAGAAGTACAGCTGCATTCTGCTGTACAGGAATCCAGCTCATAGGCCTTTCTGTTAAAAGTCTGATTGTTGATACTCAGGCTTCTAGGGACAAAGGTTACACACACACTGAAAACATTCCTGCCTCCCATGTTAGCAGTTTTGCTTCTTACAACTTTCAAGTGCTTCTTTCCCCGTTCTACAGGTTAGGTTTCAGCACAGCAGTGGCCATGCCTACACCACCACAACCTGAACAGTTGTGGGAACACATACACACTGGCAAGTCTTCAGATTCTAAGAGCCCCTCAATCTCTCTTCCCTTTACAGATCACACACTGGCTTAAAGATCAGCTCATTTATCAGATTTCCCCTAAAAGTCTGATGAAAAGATACTACCACATGCCTTTAAAAGCAAGCTCAGCATTTCAGGCAGCCTACAACTGCTGAGCAGTGGTACATCTTCCTCTTCCCCTACCTGGCACTGACAATTTCCTGGTGTATTAGGGATGTGCTTAATGTTTTAGCTCAACAGCACAGCACACAGCCTGTTAGAGCTCTGTACACGATAGCTTGAGAGACTAGAAATCTGAATTTATTCACATAATACCCACAGCAGAGTAACAGTGGATGATTCCACTTACTCTGGCATACTTCACCACAAGCCTAGAGAACACATTTCCAGAGGTAAGGACTCAGATTTCTTCCTTACTCCCTTTTGGATCTGATCTAAGATGTATTTATGCCCTGGTGGTTGCCTGAAGAAACCAACCAAGGCCAAGGCAGCCCTCTGATGAAAACAGCTTTTCAGTTTGGTTGCTGGAAGTGGAATGTTTGCTTCCTGCATTCCAGAGACTGAACAAGAGTCTCACTGTCAGCTCCTACATGATCAAGATACTTCAGGTCTGACTGCAAATCTCAAAACAGCCTAAAGTACTTACTGACATTTTGCTATTTTTACTCCCTCAAGTATCAGGCAACTGCTTCTGAAACTTCTGTGACATATGAAACAAGGGACTTGTCACAGGCACATATACGCACACCTGAGCATGAATGAGAAATCCTAAGGCCAGCTGATACCATCTGAAAGTGAAAAGTCTCACTGTCAATAAGAAAAAACCCCTCACTGCTAGCAGCTCTGAACTCACCTGGGACCTCCTCAAGGAAACCCCATATGCTCTGAAGTCTGACACTGACCAGATTTGGGTTCTCACTAACCTCAGAACTACAGAATCCAATTCTGGATTCCTCAGACATTTTGTGGGGGACCAAAAGGTTATAGCCAACACATGGCAAAACACCCACCAAGTGGAAAAGAAACTTTACAACATAGGAACCTGATCCTGGTTCAAGTAAAATTAATGGAAATGTCTCCTTTATCAACTCCAGCAGGAAAAGACTCAAGTCCTTACAGTTCCCAAATCTGACACTCCAACTTCAAAACTGCTCCAGGGCAAACTTCCATGATTAATTTAAGCTATTTGCAAATAAATAATGTCTTTAAAAAAAATGAGTTGCTGTGACCCATTCTTGCCCTGGCACAACATAGAACGGACAGGTCTTCCCCAGCTCCAGAGGAGCTCCACTGCCAGCTCATTCTCATACTTTTAACAGAAGAGAAACAAAATCAAATCGTATTACTGCACGGACTGTCACATCCTATGGGAACTCTGCATGAAGCAAAATCTCTTACAGCTTGTAATCCTCATGCTGTTATCGTGGCCAAATTGTGGCAATGGAATTCCAAAGGCCTGCTTCCAGAAACACAGCTGTGTGTTTCCAAAAAAGAACCCCACAGTCATCAACTCATCTCATCAGATAGTTCATACATTCCATCAACTGGGTGGTTTTCCCTATTTCTCTTCCTCAACAAGCTGCCACATTCTCAGCACTACCCCCTTCACAGGACCTAGTTCTGTCCTTGCAGAGTATCTGTCCACAATATGAAATGGGCTAGACTGAATATTAAGTTGTTCTTAACAGGAACAAACTAACTCCAAAGACAATAAGTTTACCAAAGCAAAATCTTAGTCCCTCTTGCTCTGGAAGAGAAATGGGGTTTGTTCATTGGTTTAAACATCCTGACAGTAATAAACCTTTCTATGAAGGGACATGGTGATTCTCTGTCATAGTCTATAATAACGGAATATTAACCGAGGAGAGAGGCCTACATGGGCTATAAATGCATTGTGAAACCATCGTTACACCTCTGTGCAAAGGATCTGGGTTTAGACAAACTGCTACTTGTCACACATACATAAACTCGGGGCTTGGAAGTCAAAAGCTCTACCTTCATATAGTGAAATGAAGGAGTCTTTAAAGATGTGTCAGAGTAACTTTTAGCCTGATAAATATTTGGTTTCAACTTACTACTGTACTTGATTTTGCTTTTAAAAGCCCCTGTGAATGTATGAAGCACACATTCCTTCTGAAGTAGCCTGGTCTCACAGGAGAAGGAAAAGAAGAGTTACCAACAGCTAATGCTTAGAGGTGGGACACAGAACAGGGAAGCAGACTCCTATCGTTCACACAGCAACTGGAAACAGCAATAGGCTTTTGCCTATTCCCTTCAGGGAATTCCATCACCCACCATGTTCTCTGCAGTAATTAAGAGAGCACTGAAGGGAAACAGCATTGGTTTTCTGTTCTTCCCACACTATCTGCTTTGCTGCAGGTACTGATGTGTGAACATGTTGAGCTCGCTGTCAAGCCAACCCGCTTTATTCCTGCAAGGACAAAAAGTCTCCATGAGGTGAGCAGAACAGCTCAAGCCCATCTGAAAGAAGCATGACTCAAATGAGTCAACAGCCAGGCATGGAGAGGAGTGCCAGAGGTCCATTCCAAACCACCACTA